AATCATTTTTAATCTGTTATAAATATTTATATTTTTTATTTTACATTTATTTATGTATTTATTTTATTTTGTTTTTAAATTAACTTATTTATTCAATTAGTCAGTTAATTTCATTTATTTATTAATATTAATAATAATATTATTAATTTATTTATATGTCTTTTTTTGTATTTTTGTCTGAATTTGACTGCTTTAAAATTAATACAATACAAAATTAATACAAATGGATACAATAACAATAATAATTTATATAACTGTATGTTGAAGATACTGATGAACAGCAGCATTTAACTAAATATTTTGGCACAAAGAGGATGTCTGTGGATTGTTTTGGGTCAGAATGAACTGGTCACACACTAACACATCTTCCTCTTCTTCTTCTCAGGTCGAATCACAGCGGAAACGGCCAAGCAGCACGGACACCTGAACATCGTGGGACTGGTGGGCTCCATCGATAATGATTTCTGTGGGACAGACATGACCATCGGCGCTGATTCGGCCCTCAACCGCATCACTGAGATCATCGACGCCATCACCACCACAGCCACCAGGTCTGAAGCACGTCCTGATGAGCTTCAGTGAACAGTTCACTTCAGATTACTTTAGCAGAGTTATTAGACATAACTAAAACCAATAACTAAAACCATTCAAAATACATTTTCGTTACTTGAAATAAAATACATGTTAACTGAAATAAAAATAAAATATATATAAAGTTTAAAGTAAATATGTTTAAAGGCACAATATGTAATTTTCGCCACTAGAGGGCGCATATTCAAAATAAACAAATAGACAAAGGCGTAGTTAGATGACACTGTTTCATCCCCACAGTCGATGCAATCTGACGGGACTCGGGCAGAAATCATGTTCATGGATGAGCTAATGATTTATTAACGTAGTAGAATGAAGCAGGGTGAGGCTGAAAGCCAGCGAAACGAAACGAGGCCGATGAACGAGCGCGACACACGGCTCGAAAGCAGCGGAGCTTTTATTATGCCACAGTCGACCGCTTCCGCTCCTTCTGGTCGTGCGTATGTGGGATAAAGCAGCGGAGCTTTTATTATGCCACAGTCGACCGCTTCCGCTGCTTCCGGTCGTGCGTATGTGGGGTAAAGCAGCGGAGCTTTTATTATGCCATAGTCGAGCGCTTCCGCTCCTTCCGGTCGTGCGTATGTGGGGTAAAGCAGCGGAGCTTTTATTATGCCATAGTCGAGCGCTTCCGCTCCTTCCGGTCGTGCGTATGTGGGGTAAAGCAGCGGAGCTTTTATTATGCCATAGTCGAGCGCTTCCGCTCCTTCCGGTCGTGCGTATGTGGGGTAAAGCAGCGGAGCTTTTATTATGCCACAGTCGAGCGCTTCCGCTGCTTCCGGTCGTGCGTATATGGGGTAAAGCAGCGCTGTTTTATCATACTAGATACATTTGAAAGTTCTGTTATAATGCTACTCTGTGCGGTCGTCACCGGTCTAATAAAACACACAACATATTGAAGTGTCTTTGGTGTTTCCATGTTTTCTACAAAACAAAACCTACTCGGAAATCGAGGGGTTATGACATCATTGGCAGGCAACACAATGACACTATGGACACGCTGCGTGTCACTAGTTAAAATTGCTTATTTCTCTGGATTTAAACATTCTTCGAAACATTTGGGATAATATAAGTATACAAGTGAGCAAAATATATAACACTGTTCTGGTGGTTTTTGGATATTTTAATTAAAAAATCTTACATATTGTGCCTTTAACTGGATGTACTGAAATAAATAAATCTTAAACTGAAATAAAATTAATTTTTTATTATAAACAAATTTATAAAAACTACTAAACATGAGAAAAATCCACAACAAAATTACTAAAACTTTAATCTTTATATATAAAAAAAAACATTTTCATTACTTGGAAAAAATACATGTTAACTGAAATAAAAATAAAATATATATTTAAAAACAAAATCTATTTTAATTTAGTTTAACTAGATGTACTAAAATAAATACATTTTAAACTGAAATAAAATTAATTATAAATATATAAACAAATTTACAAAAACTTCTAAACATGACAAAATTCCACAACAAAATTCAAACTTTAACTTCATTGCTTGAAATAAAATGCATATTAAATTAAGTAAATAAAATATAAAAATACTTTTACATTTTTGTATTATTTTAATTTAGTTTAACCTGATGTACTAAAATAAATAAATCTTAAACTGAAATAAAAACTATATAGACATATTTACAAAAACTACTAAAAAATAAACACAACAAAATTACTAAAACTTAAATAATTAAACTAAATAAAATAAATGTTAACTGAAGTAAAATAAAATATTAAAAATACTTAAATTTTTAGTAGTTTAATTTAGTTTAACTTAAAATAAATCCAAAAAATAAAGAAATATTAATAAAAAAAACGATATAGACATATTTAAAAACAAAACTACTAAATATGTCAAAAACACAAAACAGAGTTACTAAAACTTTAATTAAAATTCAAATGAAAAGGGAAAATATAAAAATAAATGTTAACTGAAGTAAAATAAAATATAAAAACGTTTTTTTTTATTATTTTAATTTAGTTTAACTTTATATACTAAAATCTTAAACAAAATTAATAAAACTTTAGCTACAATTAAAATGAAAATGGAAAATATAAAAATAAATGTTAACTGAAGTAAAATAAAATATTAAAAAAATATTTTGTATTATTTTAATTTAGTTTAACTTTATATATTAAAATCTTAAACAAGATGACTAAACTAGCTAAAATGAAAATGAAAAATATAAAAATAAATGCTAATTCAAAATACTGATAAAAACTATAATATTATCTCAGTGATATTAAGACACATGTAGATAAGAAAATATAAACTAATTAATGGTGAATTAATTTAAAGGTTTATTCATGGCCACAGGCTGTGACGACTGTGATTTCCTGTCGTTCATCAGGGGATTTTTCCTCGTTTGTTCAGGAATGCAGTGAATGTGCTGAATTCTTGTCTCAGCTCGTCTCTTCACTCTTCACACACAGAGGAAATGTGTCTCACTCACAGATAGTTTCACATAAAGTCAGTCTACAGTATGTTTGGCCCAGATTCTCTGCTCATGTTGTTTTATTGATTGTGTTTTTCAGTCATCAGCGCACATTCGTGCTGGAGGTCATGGGTCGCCACTGCGGGTGAGTTTCTGTCATGGGAAGATTACAAACATATAAACATCCTGAGATCTGGGATTATTTGAGAGACAATGCCCTAGCAACCACCCAGAATATCTTAGCAACCACTGAAATATTCTTACAGTGTCCTAGCAACCACCCAGAATATTTTAGCAACCACTGAATTATTCTTACAATGCCCTAGCAACCACCCAGAATATTTTAGCAACCACTGAAATATTCTTACAGTGCCCTAGCAACCACCCAGAATATCTTAGCAACCACCGAAACATGCGTACAATGTCCTAGCAACCACCCAGAATATCTGAGCAACCACCTAAACATTCTTACAGTGCTCTAGCAACCACCCAGAATATCTTAGCAACCACCGAAACATGCATACAATGTCCTAGCAACCATCCAGAATATCTAAGCAACCACCGAAACATGCGTACAATGTCCTAGCAACCACCCAGAATATCTGAGCAACCACCTAAACATTCTTACAGTGCCCTAGCAACCACCCAGAATATCTTAGCAACCACCGAAACATGCGTACAATGTCCTAGCAACCACCCAGAACATCTTAGCAACCACCGAAACATTCTTACAATGCCCTAGCAACCACCCAGAATATCTTAGCAACCACCTAAACATGCGTACAATGTCCTAGCAACCACCCAGAATATCTAAGCAACCACCGAAACATGCGAACAATGTACTAGCAACCACCCAGAATATCTTAACAACCACCTAAACATGCGTACAATGCCCTAGCAACTACCCAGAATATCTTAGCAACCACCCAAACATTCTTACAATGCACTAGCAACCACCCAAAATATCTTAGCAACCACCTAAACATTCTTACAATGCCCTAGCAACCACCCGGAATATCTTAGCAAGCACACAAACATGCTTACAATGCCCTAGCAACCACCTGGAATATCTTAGTGACCACTGAAACATTCTTACAGTGCCCTAGCAACCACCCGTAGTGTCTTAGCAACCACCGAAACATTCTTACAGTGCCTTAGCAATTCACACTGATGTTTTCTCACACAGTAACTACTAGGGCTGGGTTTTGACACAAATTTCACGATTCGATTCGATTCTCATTCACAAGCTTTCGATTCGATTCAATATTGATTATTTTGGATATATATCAGGTACAGTACTTGCCAAATTTTCTCAAGGAAAAAAAATCTCTCAACTAATGCTGTAAAATATACATGAGAGTCATTTGGTACTACATTACTATAATATAATGAAGGTTAAAATTGACTGATTTGTAAGCTGTAGCATACAACTGTTAAAGTTACACAATGAAGTTTTTAAAATAATAAAGTTACAATTACCTAATAATATTTCTACTTCAATACTTCAATTTTTTTATAAAAAATATATATAAATTTATAGTAGTAGCAACAGATAAATACAGACTGAATTAAAATAACAAAACTCCTAACTTTATATCACTAAAATGAAATTGGAAGCCGCTAACAGATGCTCACATCCACACTGGCAAGGCAACATTGACGCCTTCACTTCCAGGTCAAGAAGCTGTCAATCAAAAACTTAGTAGCCAATGAGAACACACCGCTGCTAGTCCCACCCCCACGAGAGATTTGTGCCAGAATGGTGAACGAAAACTTCAGAAGCATAAATGAAAACTTCAGAAGCATAAACGAAAACTTCAGAAGCATAAACGAAAACTTCAGAAGCTTAAATGAAAACTTCAGAAGCTTAAATGAAAACTCTGGAAGCGCATTTGTAAGTACAGATCAGCGAATACAAGAAGAGAAAACAGTTGCAAAACATGCAGTGTATTAAAAATGAAGTCAGTTTCAAAGACATTTTATTCAGTTTCAATTTATATTTTCATAAGTTTCTTGAAAAATTAAATTCATTTTAACTGGCACAAAGGTAATCCCATACTACTGTCACTCCACATTAAACAGCGCCAAAATGGCATTTATTGTTTGAATACTGCAATACAATGGACATAAATTGAAACTTGGGACTTTGTTTCATATTAAAAGCATCAAAGCACAATGCTTATTGTGATTTATTGGCGCGCTGCCGCTTTTATTGAACTGAAGGAAGGCGTGCCGCGCTACAGCGATCTTTCACTCCACATTAAACAGCGCCAAAATGGCATTTATTGTTTGAATACTGCAATACAATGGACATAAATTGAAACTTGGGACTTTGTTTCATATTAAAAGCATCAAAGCACAATGCTTATTGTGATTTATTGGATGGGAAGTGCCCTTCAATGTTCCGTCCATTAACTGAAAACAGACTAGACTAATCGATTCTTGGGATTTAAGAATCGATATCATTGCGTAAAAAAGAGAATCGATTAATATCGGGATATCCATATTTTTTACCCAGCCCTAGTAACTACAGCGATTAGGAATAATTCACCAAACAAAGCTTTGACTGCAGTGTGTGTTCTGCTGCAGGTATCTAGCGCTGGTTTCAGCTCTGGCGTCTGGAGCCGATTGGCTCTTTATCCCAGAAGCCCCTCCTGAGGACGGCTGGGAAGAGCTCATGTGCGCTCGGCTGGGAGAGGTGAGACACGGGGGCACATGAGCGGATTTATCAATGCCATCAATTAGCATGTAATTAATTGGTCGTTGGTTATTAGACCAAACCCTAACCATTATTTTTGTACTATTTAAATGCTATCATAGTATTTATTATTTATTAATATTTTATTAATATTCATTATTTATTAATATTTTGAATTAGCCTTTATTTTTACATTTCAAGTTTTAATTTAAATTTTTGTTTTTATGTGCTTTTGTCATTTTTATTCGTTTTTATGTAAGTTTTAGTAATTTAGTATTGTATCTCAAACTGTACTGTACGTTTTTATTTCAATTAATTTTTTTGTAATTAATTTAAGTTAGCAAATATTTCAGTTTTATTTACGTTATGTTTTAATTAATGAACCTGATTTTTGGACATGGCAAGTCTTCAGCAGCGTAATTTATATTATATAGGTTTTTATGTAATTTTGTCATTTATATTAATTTTTTTTAGTTTTTGTTTTTTATGTATATTTCTTTTGAGCTTTAATATATTTTTAATTCAGTTTTAGTATTTTTTTATTATTTTACTTAATGTATTTTATATTATGTAATTCAAGGTTTTATGTACTTTTGTCATTTGTATTAGTTTTAGTTTTTTATGTGTATTTCTGAATAATGTTCTTTTTAGCAGCATCATATGACCCCTTTAATTTATTTTTAATTCAGTTTTAGTAATTTAGTACCGTATCGTAAACTTTTTTTGTCTCAGTGAATTTTGTAATCTGTCGAATGTTAAAAATTTTTTACGTTTTCATCAGATATTTATATTTTATTTCAGCTTTATTTCAATTAATAAAATGTATTTTTATTAGTCAAAATAATATTCAATGAACAAAAAAATCTAAATGAATAAATTCTTTGCAAGTGAAAAATATTATTTAATATTAATGATTCAGCCTGACTGCATTAGGTTGCACAAACAACAGTCATGTTTAAATGTCAGATCAGGCAGAAATAATAACAAAGATAACAACAGTCCAGTTTTATTTCTGAATAATTGTACTAACAGAACGCTGGATGTGTTTTCAGAGCCGCAGTAAAGGATCCAGACTGAACATCATTATCATCGCTGAAGGAGCCATCAACAGAAGCGGTCAAGCCATCACCTCCAACTACGTCAAAGATGTGAGTTCATATCAGTGTTTTCATATGGTTTACCTTCAATTCACACGTATTAAATGTGAAAAAAGAAAAGAAGTGATATTAAGTTGCCTGATATAAAGTCATGAAATTGTTTTCTGTAGAGCTGCTTTACAGCTGAAATTGAATTAATTTATAATTGATCAATTCTGCAACACTTTTTTTTTTTTTTGAAGCTACTTTGTATGAAAGCTCATTGGAATAAAAATGTTAAAAAAAAATGTAATTGCGACTTTTTATCTCGCAATTCTAACTTTTTTCTCTGAATTCTGAATTTACATCTTGCAATTCTTGAGTTTGAATTTTGCAATTTTACTTTTTTTCGTGGAATTCTGAGTTTAAATCTCGCAATTTTACTTTTTTTCGTGGAATTCTGAGTTTAAATCTCGCAATTTTACTTTTTTTTCGTGGAATTCTGAGTTTAAATCTCGTAATTGTACTTTTTTTCGTGGAATTCTGAGTTTAAATCTCGCAATTCTACTTTTTTTCGTGGAATTCTGAGTTTAAATCTCGTAATTCTACTTTTTTTCGTGGAATTCTGAGTTTAAATCTCGCAATTGTACTTTTTTTCGTGGAATTCTGAGTTTAAATCTCGCATTTTTCACTTTTTTTCGTGGAATTCTGAGTTTAAATCTCGCTATTTTACTTTTTTCCGTGGAATTCTGAGTTTAAATCTCGCAATTTTTACTTTTTTTCTCAGAATTTTGAGTTTATATTTTGCAAATGTATTTTTTTTCTTGAAATTCTCGGTTTAAATCTTGAGATTTTACTTTTTTTGAGTTTATACCTCGCAATTTTTTTTCCTCTGAATTTTGAGTTTATATCTTGCATTTTTACTTTTTTCTCAGAATTCTGAGTTTATATCTAGTTGTTCAGATTTTTTTAATTTTTTTTTTTTATAAAAACATAAAAAAAGCTATTGCTAAAAACTCAAAAAGCGTCTGCGCTCTAATAAGGATACTTGTCCAATCACATTAGACGAACGTAGCTAATGTGTATGAATGACTTGTAATTGCTGCAGCTGGTGGTGTCGCGGCTGGGGTATGACACGCGGGTCACTGTTCTGGGTCACGTTCAGCGGGGCGGGACGCCGTCAGCCTTTGACAGAGTGCTGGTAAATAAAGCATTTCAATTAAACCCGCAGAATCATTTTCAGTCATGGCGTGATTATCGGTTTTCATGATGTTGAGGAAAGGATTTGGGTCTTTTGTTCTGTAGAGCAGTAAGATGGGCGTCGAGGCCGTGGTGGCCCTGCTGGAGGCGGGGCCAGACACTCCCGCCTGTGTGATCGGCCTATCAGGAAACCAGGCTGTGCGTCTCCCGCTAATAGAGGCAGTGGAGATGGTGAGTCTTCAGCAGTTCAGCAAACTGTTTTTAAACTCTCATGCTCTTTATTATTTTTATTTTATTTTATTTTTTTATTGCTTTCTTTTAACTTGAACTCTTACATTTCCAGCCAAACATTATTATTATTATTATGCGTATTTTTTCATGCATATTTACTGCTATTGTTATGGCAAAACTTCGTTGGGTCAGATAATCTTCAAAAATTTTATTACATTTTTTTTGATATGCCAAACAGATACAACTTTTGATTTTAGTAATGTGTTAGTAAATGTTAAAAATTAACATTGGTTTTTATTAATATGTGACCCTAGACCACAAAACCAGTCATAAGGGTCAATCTGAAAGCTGAATAAATAAGCTTTCCATTGATGTATGGTTTGTTATGATAGGACAATATTTGACCGAGATACAACTATTTGAAAATCTGGAATCTGAGGGTGCAAAAAATCAAAATATTGAGAAAATCATCTTTAAAGTTGTCCAAATGAAGTCCTTAGCAATGCATATTACTAATCAAAAATTAAGTTTTGATATATTTACGGTAGGAAATTTTCAAAATATCTTCATGGAACATGATCTTTACTTAATATCCTAATGATTTTTGGCATAAAAGAAAAATCTATAATTTTGACCCATACAATGTATTTTTGGCTATTGCTACAAATATACCCCAGTGACGTAAGACTGCTTTTGTGCCCCAGGGTCACATATTTTGAATTAGCTTTTATTTTTAGATTTTCAATTTTTATTTTAGTTTAAGTAATAATAATTTTTCAAATTCTGTGTTTTCCATTTTAAAAAATTTTCTGGATTCCGTAGTAATAATTAAATTAAATTGTAATAATCAAAACACGTCTAATTACAGTAATTGAATTCATAAAATATTAACAATTTAATTCTTTTATTTACATTTTTCCATTTTTCCCTATGAAATGTTTTATTTATTTTTTTCAGAAATTCTGTGTTAATTTTTCTGGATTTATGATTTAATACAGATTTATTATCAAAAATGGTGGTGATCAAATCAAGGCATAAAATCAAGGCATAAAACTATAACAGTTAAATTAATCTTTTCAAATGTAAATCAGATAAGTCAAATAAAAATGTAAGGTCCATTACATAATATTAACAGATACACCTTTTCATTTAAATAACGTGTTAGTAAAAATATTTTATTTATATTTATTTAAAAATTATGAAGTTTTATTAATTTTGTTATGTGCTTTTGTCATTTGTTTAAATAGTTATATATTTAATATAATATAATTACTTAAGTTGGGTAAGATAATCTTCAAAAATTTTCTGACAAACAGTCTCAAATATTATCTGACATTATAAAGAGAGTAATTTTACTCTGTTTGTTAAAGACTAAAGAGGTTCAGAGGGCCATGAATGAAAAGCGTTTTGAAGAGGCCATCCAGTTGCGGGGCAGGTGAGATTCACATTATCATTATCTGTGTTTATTAATAGATAAACCTGCAGAGGTCAAAGTTTCAGCTGATTGTTTTCCACATGAATGAGTAATAATGAATCAAATAATGTTGTTTACAGGAGTTTTGAGAACAACTGGAACATTTATAAGTTGCTGGCCTATCAGAAGCCAGCTGCGGTCCCGGTAACACATCAACACCACAGCGTCACGACTTTAACCCTCATTTTACAGCATTATACATGCAAAAGCATATTTAAAAAATAAATAAATTAATTAAAAAAAATATATATATATATAATTATTATTATTTATTTTTTTATATACTTTTGCATGTATAATGCTGTATTTTCTGTATTTAATGCATTCTATTTTAATGGTTTAATTAACTAGCTGAACTAAAAAGCTTTTTGTATTTTATTTTTATTTCAGTTACATTTTAAATATCAAAAAGCATGTCTAATCGAACATTACCAATTTAATAAGTTATTACATTTTTTTTTACGATAATTGGGCCCTATGAAATGTTATATTTTTCAGAAAATAATTTAAAGTTTTTGCAATTGTGTTGTGTGCATTTGTCATTTTTAGTAGTTTATATATATAGTTTTTATTAATTTTATTTTGGTTTTAGTTTTAGTTATTTTAGTGCATGAAGTAAAACTAAATATAATGAGAAATATAATGACAATTAGCTGAAATCATTTTTTTTTATTTCAGTTACATTTTAAATCAATTTTTAAATCAATTGACCAATTTTAAATAATCATTTTAATAATTTATTAACATTTTTACAATAATTAGAAATTCTGTGTTGTCTGATTGATTTTTTCTGTATTTATGACTGAATGCAAATTTCTTATCAAACGGTGATCAAATGAAGGCATGAAACATTAACAATTTAATTAATATTTTTAAATGTGCTGCACAACTGTTAAAATTAAAACATGAAAGAAAAATTGTGTGATTCCTTAATTAATATTTGACTAATAGTTATATACACAACTGTAAATGTCACTGCTGGTATTAAACCGTATTGTGTTACAGCTATCAGGAGGATATATGGATCATAAAATCCTAATCTTAAACTTGTACTATGGTACTGTGAACTCAAAGTTAGTTTTGAAACTACAGTACATAAATGCATTAATTTATCTTACACTTAATTTATCATGTTCATTTGAGAATGAGAGCCACATATATGAATTTCTCAAGATAAAGATAAATACTGCATATATATATATATATACATCGTGTAACTATTACATGTGTCGTATCAACAACGTTTTACCCTATTCTTTGGATAGCTCCATGTCAAGCACAGATCCTCCATAGACTTCCGTTAGAAAAGAGCGAATGTTTGGTGAAAGTCTGGTAACGTGGCACTCAGTGACGGGTTGGTTAGCTACTGACTGGTTTCTGTCTGTTTTCCTCAGAGCCAGCACTCCATTGCCATCCTGAACGTGGGAGCTCCGGCCGCGGGCATGAACGCTGCGATGCGGTCGGCTGTGAGGGTCGGTCTGGCCACAGGACACCGGGTTTACATCGTTAGCGATGGCTTCGAGGGTCTGGCCAATGGAGCGGTAACGAACAACTCATCTGAATGATTTTTCAGTTATTTTGTATCAGTTTACTTGAGAGACTGACCTATGACTGAAACTGTGTTTGTTTGGGATCATTTAGATACTATTATGGTTTTAATTAATAAACGGTGTTATTTTATCATCATTTAGATACTATTATAGTTTTAAATTAATATTTTGAAGATTTAATTTTAATATTTCCTATTTTCATTTTCATTTTAGTTGACGTTTTTGTAATTTTGTTTTGTGCTTTTGTCATTTTAGTAGTTTTTAACTAATATATATGAAATAATGCAGATATATATATATATATATACATATATATATATATATGTACAAATATAAGTATAGGGCCTATGAAATCCATTTTATTTTTTTCCAAATTCTGTTTTTATTGTACTGGATTCCGTTTGAAATCAAAAAAGCATGTAATCAAAAAGCATGTCTAATTAATTAAAATCTTGAAACTTAACGCCATAATTGCATTTTTAATTACATTTCCAGGGCCCTATGAAACTTGTTATATTTTTTCACCAATTTTGTGTTTTTCTGTTATAATTTTTCTGGACTCTGCTGTAATGGTTAAATTAAAATTTAAAACATGTCTAATCAATTGAATTCATTAAACAATAACAGTTTAATAATTTATTTAACGTTTTCAGTAAATAGCAGTGCCCTATCAAATGTTACATTTTTTCAGAAATTGTCTTGTGTTTTAATTTTTCCGGGTTTGTGATTTAATACAAATTTATTATCGAAAATGGTGGTAATCAAATGAAGGCATTAACATTAACAATTTAATTTTAAATCTTTTATCTTTTAAAATGTAATCAGATAAAAAAGTAGCAGTTTCTTTTATTTTTTGGCAAACAATGTTTAAAACAACCGTTAAGATTAAAAGCTTTACTGTTAAAATGAAATGTGAAAGAAAAATTCTGATATTAAACAATAAATATTATTATTATTATTATTATTATTACTTTGAGAATACATTCTGCTGTAAAATAGCAATATATTTCTCTCACAATCAAAGTTAAACCAGACTTTTATTTTGACAGGTTCTGCATATAAGAATGAAACAGGCCTGTTCTCTTTCTGTTTTTCATTTAGAACAATAATAGTAATGATTATATTAATATTCATGAAATCACTGTGATGTTACAGGTGAATGAAGTGTCGTGGAATCAGGTGGCCGGCTGGACAGGTCAGGGTGGCTCTCTGCTGGGAACTAAACGGTTAGTCACCTTTAATAATCAATGCATTTTCACCCAATCTTTCATCTTTCATCTATGAAACTGAGCTTTTGTACCCGCAATATTGTCCAGAACCCTCCCAAGCACCTGCATGGAGAAACTAGTGGAAAATCTCAACAAGTTCAGCATCCAGTCACTGCTCGTCGTTGGTGGTTTTGAGGTACAGAGAAAACAATTGTGATGCGATGCACTTAAATGAGTAGTTCACCCACAAATGTGACCCTGGACCACAAAACCAGTCATAAGGGTCAATTTTTTGAAATTGAGATTTATGCATCTTATGAAGTATTGTTGGCTATTGCTACAAATATACCCCAGCGACTTAAGACTGCTTTTGTGCTCCAGGGTCACAAATGACGGGTTTGTTATCATTTCCATCCTGTGTTATCTTCCATGAAACACAAAATGAGATATTAGACAATGTCCGAGCCGCTTTTGATGATATCTGACTGTATTTTCTGTCACATCCAGGCGTATGAGGGCATCCTGGAGTTGGTTGAAGCAAGAGGACGCTATGATGAATTATGTATTCCCATGTGCATCATCCCTGCCACCATCAGCAACAATGTGCCAGGGACGGACTTCAGTCTGGGCAGCGATACTGCGGTTAACGCAGCGATGGCCGTGAGTACAGGACACACGGCACTCAGAAACACTCTTATATGCTCTTTTAGATTTACTCTGGCACATGCATTTTACTAAATCTAAATGTGGCTTGCAAAACCATGGAGAAGTCACTGGAAAAGACTGTGGCTCTGTTAGTCTTATTTTAGTATCATTGAGATACTATTATAATTTTGATTAAAATTTTCAATTCGTTTTTATTTTTATACTTTGTTTTCATTTTAATTTTAGTTAAATTTTTTAGTAATTTTGTTGTGTGTTGTCATGTTTATTTCTTTATTTTTTTTAAATATGTCTATATAGTTTTTATTATTTTTATTTCAGTTTTGGTTATTTTAGTACATCAAGTTAAACTGAATGAAAATGATAAATGTTGCTTTAGTAACTATCTGAATAAGTAAATTTACATTTTTTAATATTTGATTTCAGTTAACATTTTTTGAATTTAAAATATTTCTTTAGGTTTTTAGTTTTAGTTTTACTTAACTATAATAATCCTGCTACATATTCAGCATTTTAGGGCATCAACACATATGTTTTTCCAAATATAGGCAGAACAAGTTTTTATAAATATTTTGAATTAGTTTTTATATTTAGTTTTCATTTTACTTTTAGTTCAATTTTTTGTAATTTTGTTGTGTTTATATATATATATATATATATTTAAATATGTCTATATAGTTTTTATTCATTTTTATTACAATTTTAGTTATTTTAGAGCATCAGATTAAACTAAATGAAAATGAGAAATGTTGCCTTGGAAACTAGCTGAAATAAAATGTTTTTTAAATATTTTATTTAATTTCAGTTAACATTTATTTAATTTCAAATAACATTTTTTTAATGGTTTTAGTTAACTATAATAACCCTGCTACATAGGCAGCATTTTAGGGCATCATAGATGCATTAAATGCAAATGCTTTTCCAAAAAATATGTAGCATAAATATGATGCTGTCTATGATGCCTTCTTTTGCCTTATGCATGCATCATTTTCAGAAAAGGCAATCCCACAATGCAATACGACTGAAAAAAAATGCACCCAAAATAACAGACAGAGTCAGAGTAATGGCAATTATAAATGCAAAAACAATAAATAAAAAACAGACAATATGACTTAATATTTATGTGCTTTGTATTTTGTTAAATATCAGTTTGAAAGATTTTATATAATTTTTTTATTTTTGTTGGTTTGTAAAAAAGAATATAGTTTTAAAATTATTATATTCAATTAATTGAAGTATTGTTATTAGGACTATATTCTTGAGTTTGCCATGAAGTTTGCTGATATGGCGTAAAATGATAAACACATGAATAAAATGTGTCCTGTGTATTTTGCAAAGTCATAGGTTCGGTTCTCAGGGAATGCATGAACTGTTCAAATGCATACCATGTGTGTATGCAATGGAAGTCGCTTTGTATAAATGCATCTGATCAATTTTAAATGTAAATGTACTTTTAGGCTCATTAGTGTACTAAGTTTTGAAGCAGAGCTTTCATCTGAAGTCACCTGCCAAATCTTACTCCCTTTATCGCATGAGCTTTTAATAAAGATGCAGTTTGTGTTATTGATTCTCTGCATCCATTCTCCAGTTATTGATCTGAAGTGCGTCTTTGTTTTATGAAGAGCTGTGATAAGATCAAGCAGTCGGCCACAGGGACCAAGAGGAGGGTCTTTGTGGTGGAGACTATGGGGGGATACTGCGGTTATCTGGCAACCACCACAGGCATCGCTGTCGGTGCGGACGCCGCTTATATTTTTGAAGATCCATTCAACATCCATGACCTCAAGGTGAGTAACACTCCTGATGCTCCTCACATCTGCTCATCCCAGAAGAATAAATGCTGTTTTTTTAGTATATTAAGAAAGTTTGATACTTTTTTTAGACCAATGTGGAGCATTTGACCGAGAAAATGAAGAAGGACATTCAGAGAGGTCTGGTGCTGAGGTAAATCTGTCTAGCTTTTTTGGTCTGCAACACATTTGTAGGTTCCTAAGTTGTTGCATCTTTATCCACATCACAAAATTTAAGATGTACGCTTGCGGATCTAAACTACCAGTCAAAATAGGAATAGACATGGAATAATTATGCTTTTTCTTTAATGTTTTTGAAAGTGCCTTATGCTCACCAAGGCTGCATTTATTTGATCAAACTAAAGTAAAAATTGTGAAATATTATTATAATTTAAAATAACCAAAATAAATTTTCTATGTGAATATATGTTAAAATGTAATTTATTTCTGTGATCAAAGCTGAATTTTCAGCATGGTTACTCCAGTCTTCGGTGTCACATGATCCTTCATAAATCATTCTAATAATCTTAACTTTTGACTGGTAGTTAAATTGTTTTTAAAATGAATTCTATAAAATGACTAAGAATTATAACTGTTGCATCATTGCAATTCACATACTTGTTTAAATCACAAAATGAATTACATATTTATATACAGGTCTAGTCTAGACATAAAAACAAACTATTAAATACTATAAATATTATAAAATAAGATACAGTATTTCTCCCCTGATCTCATCTGTATCTCTGGCGACCTCATGTGGGTTGAGTTGGAATTTAAACCTTTACATTTACATTTTTTATCCAAAGCAACTTACAGAAAAGGAACAAAAGCAATTTGTCAAATACAAAGCAACATTTTTTTTGTAATATACAATGCTAGGTTTACTGATGTAAAAGGCTTTTAGTTATGAATGACTCACAACCATAATGTTTACATCAGTAATTAAATTATAGCTTATTAAATGTATGAATAATGAAACAATTTGTATTTCTTTAATTACATTTTAAAGGAATAGTTCATACAAAAATGAAAATTTGCTGAAAATGTACTCACCCTCAGGCCATCCAAGATTAGGATGAGTTTGTTTCTTCATCAGATTTGGAGAAATATAGCATTGCATCACTTGCTCAGCAATGGATGCTCTGCAGTGAATGGGTGCCGTCAGAATGAGAGTCCAAACAGCTGATAAAAACATCACAATAATCCACAAGTAATCCACAGCACTCCAGTCCATCAGTTAACATCTGGAGAAGACAAAAGCTGCGTGTTTGTAAGAAACAAATCCATCATTAAGACGTTTAAACCATTGTTTCCGGCTAAAATGCAAGTCCATAATGCATAATAACGCTTCCTCCAGTGAAAAAGTGTTCTGGTGTGAATCAGGAGAGAAATCTGCACAGATCAAGCAGCGTTTAAACAGCTCTAAACAAATATGTGGTTGGATTTTGATGTGAGAGACAACAAGAGATGGACTTTTCACTGGAGGAAGTGCTATTATGGACTTGTATTTTAACCAGAAGCAACGGTTTAAAGTTAAAAACGTCTTAATGATGGATTTGTTTCTCAAACATGCAGCTTTTGGCTTCACAAGACATTAACCGATGGACTGGAGTGGTGTGGATTACTTGTGGATTATTGTGATGTTTTTATCAGCTGTTTGGACTCTCATTCTGACGGCACCCATTCACTCCAATTGTGAGCAAGTGATGCAATGCTGCATTTCTCCAAATCTGATGAAGAAACAAACTCATCCACTTTTTCTGTAGATTTAATTCCTTTATTTTGTGACTTTATGCTTGAGATTTAGCAGCTTAATGAGACTGTAAATGTAAAATTGCCCTGTTTACAGGAATGAGAAATGTCATGTGCACTACACCACTGATTTCATCCATAAGCTCTACTCCGCCGAGGGGAAAGGCGTCTTCGACTGCAGGGTCAATGTCCTGGGACACCTGCAGCAGGTACAGACTCGTGCTTTATCACTGAACTCATTTGAACAACTTTTGACAAAACCTACTGAGCTCCCATGATTTCTACTTCATAAGGGAGCATCCTCACTGAAAGTCTCTGTGCAACTTGTAAATCATCCTCTAAAATCACCTGATCTTCATCACCTGACTTATTGCACACATATTGCTAAACTACATACTCTCATACTCTTATAAGCATTAAAATACACAACACACACACACAAATACTGGGGGTAAAAAGTCTGATTCGTTTCATTATATTTTATTTCTTGCAACTAAACCAGTATTCATAATCATGAGGTATTCAAAAAACTTTAGTGCATCAAATATCTGATAACAATCCAATCAAAGTTTCTATTTGAGTTTCATCTCTAAACATGCATTGGTTATAATAGTGTAAATTTTTGATGTTGTTTTTCTGGTATTAATAGGGTGGAGTACCAACACCCTTTGACAGAAACTATGGCACTAAACTGGGCGTTCGAGCCGTGCAGTGGCTGACAGAGAAGATGACCGACAGTTTTAGACAAGGTGAGACGACGTTTGCATGCTAAAAACAAAATATAACTATGTAAATCCTTCAGAATTTAAATTCACATCAGGTGACAAGTTTAATGATCTGAAATCACTGTAATGGAGAGTCTCGAGTTTATCGATCACATCACTGTTGTTTT